AGGGAATTTTTTTTGGATTTTGGGTTTATTTTTATGGGGAATTTTTGGGAATTTTTATGGGAATTTTTGGGTTTATTTTTAGTGAATTTTCCGGTATTTTTAGGGGAACTTTTTGGGATTTTTTTGGGATTTTGGGTTTATTTTTATGGGGAATTTTCGGGAATTTTTGGGTTTATTTTTAGGGAATTTTAGGGAATTTTTAGGGGAATTTTTAGGGGATTTTTTGGGTTTTTTTAAGAGATTTTTTTGGGATTTTTTAGGAATTTTGGGTTAATTTTTAGGGAATTTTTTTTGGATTTTGGGTTTATTTTTAGGGGATTTTTTTGGGATTTTTTGGGAATTTTGGGCTCTTTTTTAAGGGATTTTTTTGGGATTTTGGGTTTATTTTTAGGGGGAATTTTCAGGAATTTTGGGGGTTTTTTTAGGGAATTTTCGGGAATTTTTATGGGAATTTTTGGGGTTTTTTTAGGGAATTTTCCGGAATTTTTAGGGGATTTTTTTGGGATTTTTTTTGGATTTTGGGTTTATTTTTTTAGGGAATTTTTGGGAATTTTTGGGTTTATTTTTAGGGAATTTTTGGGAATTTTTAGGGGAATTTTTAGGGGATTTTTGGGGTTTTTTTAAGAGATTTTTGGGGGATTTTTTGGGAATTTTGGGTTCATTTTTAGGGGGAATTTTTGGGAATTTTTATGGGAATTTTTGGGGTTTTTTTAGGGAATTTTCCGCAATTTTTTGGGGAATTTTTTGGGAATTTTTGGGTTTTTTTAAAAGGGATTTTTGGGGGATTTTTTGGGAATTTTGGGTCATTTTTAGGGAATTTTTTTGGAATTTTGGGTTTATTTTTATGGGGATTTTTTGGGGGATTTTTTGGGAATTTTGGGTCATTTTTAGGGAATTTTTTTGGGATTTGGGGTTTATTTTTTTAGGGGGAATTTTCGGGAATTTTTGGGTTTATTTTTAGGGAATTTTAGGGAATTTTTAGGGGAATTTTTAGGGGATTTTTTGGGATTTTGGGTTTATTTTTTTAGGGAATTTTTGGGAATTTTTGGGTTTATTTTTAGGGAATTTTCGGGAATTTTTATGGGAATTTTTGGGGTTTTTTTAGGGAATTTTCCGGAATTTTTAGGGGATTTTTTTGGGATTTTTTTTGGATTTTGGGTTTATTTTTTTAGGGAATTTTTGGGAATTTTTGGGTTTATTTTTAGGGAATTTTTGGGAATTTTTAGGGGAATTTTTAGGGGATTTTTGGGGTTTTTTTAAGAGATTTTTGGGGGATTTTTTGGGAATTTTGGGTTCATTTTTAGGGGGAATTTTTGGGAATTTTTATGGGAATTTTTGGGGTTTTTTTAGGGAATTTTCCGGAATTTTTGGGGGAATTTTTTGGGAATTTTTTGGGGTTTTTAAAAGGGATTTTTGGGTCATTTTTAGGGCATTTTTTGGGATTCTGGGTTTATTTTTAGGGGGAATTTTCAGGAATTTTTGGGTTTATTTTTAGGGATTTTTTGGGAATTTTTAGGGGAATTTTTGGGGGTATTTTGGGGGGATTTTTTGGGAATTTTGGGTTTATTTTTTGGGAATTTTTACGAGAATTTTTGGGGGAATTTTGTGTTTATTTTTAGGAATATTTTGGGAATTTTTTGGGGACTTTTTGGGATTGTTTGGTTTATTTTTAGGGATTTTTTGGGAATTTTTTTGGGGTAATTTTTGGGAATTTTGAGTTCATTTTTAGGGATTTTTGGGGAATTTTTGCGGGACGGGGAATTTTTGCGGGACTTTTTGGGGGAATTTTTGGGGATTTTGGGTTTATTTTTAGGGGAATTTTTGGGAATTTTTAGGGAATTTTTTGGGATTTTGGGTTTATTTTTATGGGGAATTTTTGGGAATTTTTGTGGGAATTTTTGGGTTTATTTTTAGTGAATTTTCCGGAATTTTTAGGGGAATTTTTTGGGAATTTTGGGGTTTTTTTAAAAGGGATTTTTTGGGGATTTTTTGGGAATTTTGGGGTCATTTTTAGGGAATTTTTTTTTGATTTTAGGTTTATTTTTAGGGGATTTTTTTGGGATTTTTTGGGAATTTTGGGGTCTTTTTTAAGGAATTTTTTTGGGATTTGGGGTTTATTTTTATGGGGAATTTTTGGGAAGTTTTGGGTTTATTTTTAGGGAATTTTTGGGAATTTTTAGGGGAATTTTTAGGGGATTTTTTGGGTTTTTTAAAGAGATTTTTGGGGGATTTTTTGGGAATTTTGGGGTCATTTTTAGGGAATTTTTTTTGGATTTTGGGTTTATTTTTATGGGGAATTTTTGGGAATTTTTATGGGAATTTTTGGGGTTTTTTTAGGGAATTTTCCGGAATTTTGGGGGGAATTTTTTGGGAATTTTGGGGGGTTTTTAAAAGGGATTTTTGGGTCATTTTTAGGGCATTTTTTGGGATTCTGGGTTTATTTTTAGGGGGAATTTTCAGGAATTTTTGGGTTTATTTTTAGGGATTTTTTGGGAATTTTTATGGGAATTTTTAGGGGATTTTTGGGGCTTTTTTAAGAGATTTTTTGGGGATTTTTTGGGGAATTTTTTGGGATTTTGGGTTTATTTTTATGGGGAATTTTTAGGGAATTTTTGGGAATTTTTAGGAGAATTTTTTTGGAATTTTGGGTTCATTTTGAGGGAATTTTTGGGATTTTTTTGGGAATTTTGGGGTTATTTTTAGGGAATTTTAGGTTCATTTTTAAAGGATTTTTTAGGGGAATTTTTGGGAATTTTGGGTTTATTTTTAGGGATTTTTTGGGAATTTTTACGAGAATTTTTGGGGGAACTTTGGGAATTTTGGGTTCATTTTTATGGAGAATTTTTGGGAATTTCAGGTTTATTTTTAAGGGATTTTTGGGGTATATTTTAGGAATTTTGGGTTTATTTTTATGGGGAATTTTTGGGAATTTTTGTGGGAATTTTTCAGGTTTATTTTTAAGGGATTTTTGGGGTATATTTTAGGAATTTTGGGTTTATTTTTATGGGGAATTTTTGGGAATTTTTGTGGGAATTTTTGGGGTTTTTTAAGGAATTTTCTGGAATTTTTGGGGGAATTTTTTGGGAATTTTGGGGGGTTTTTAAGGGATTTTTTGGGAATTTTGGGTTCATGTTTAGGGCATTTTTTGGGATTTCGGGTTTATTTTCAAGGGGAATTTTCGGGAATTTTTTGTTGTATTTTTAGGGAATTTTTGGGAATTTTTAGGAGAATTTTTTTGGAATTTTGGGTTCATTTTTAGGGAATTTTCCAGAATTTTTAAGGGAATTTTTTGGGAATTTTGGGGGGTTTTTAAAAGGGATTTTTTTGGGATTTTTTAGGAATTTTGGGTTAATTTTTAGGGAATTTTTGGGGATTTTGGGTTTATTTTTAGG